TCTATCCCTAAATTATTCAGAATTACTGCTTTTGCTTCGTTTCTTCTCCAAAGTCAAGCACACTTGAGAGGGCACTAAAAATAAATGGTTTTGCTGAGCACTAAATCTATTTCTTAAAGGAGAGGGCTCCCATCCCTTCTGCCTGTGCAGAGGAAAGCCTAAGCCTGTCTTTGCACACCCTGACACTGGTGAACTAGTAAAATCCTGAAAAGTTGCCTGCCTGCAGCTTCTATCTTCAGACATTTCTTTATCTAAAAAGAATTGTGTAAAGCACCCAAGGTCCCATGGGGAGAGTCCAAAGGACACCCTGTAACCACCGGCTGGGGCACCACTGGTAGGCTCCTGCCAGACCAGGAGCTCCAGGATCTCCTCCTGGGGTGCAGCCACCTTTCCAATAGAGCCCAAATTTTTTATTTGCTGGATAAAATGGCCTGGATGGCATTTACTTGGTATCCAACTGCCCCCTTGCTGGGTCTGCTCCAACCAGAATGGGCATCCCCCAGCCAGCAGAGAGGGTTTAGCCTCGGCAGGGACACCTCCTGCTTATTCTTAGCCTTGTTTCTAAGAAGTGCTTTATAAGCAGGAGCCCGTGTTGACTAATGCCATGAAACATTAATGACTTAGGAGGTGAGCTGCAGCCCTCCCACAGAGCAGCTCCCAGCTCCCCAGCAGCCGGAGAGGCACAGGATGAGCCCAGCAGTGCTTTGCATAGGGGAGGCACAGGCATTAAAGCCAAACCCAAGTTGTACCTGAAGCCAGCTGAAAAATATGACAAAGATAAAAGGTAGGTAAAAGGGAGACAGAGGCTGATGTATGCTTAGATGGCTGTGCATCGCAGTCCGGGATAGGAAATTCGGAGGGGCGGAAGAGCCGCCCACCTGGTGGCTGCTCCACCTCACACAGCACTGCCCTGGCTGCCTGCACAGCAGAGGTTTTCTCTACCTGAACACAGCAGGCTGAAAAAGAGGTTGCTTTTGTCATTTGCTTGATATAGAGGAGATTTGCATGGGGGGACATGGGAAGAGCTGAGCCGTGGTGTGCAGCAGCTCCCAGCCAGAGCTGCCGGCTCCTTGGTTGTGGTTCCATGCTGCCCTGGGCTGTCCAAGCCCAGCCTAGCCAGCTCACAGGACTTGGTCAAGGAGGGCTGATCTGCAGAGCCCCCACTACCGTCCAAAGCAGCATCCCAATGTGTTGGATTTTGGAAGAAATCCTTGCAACACCTCTCCCCAGCTCCTGCTCTTCACCCAGTTCCACACAACCCTATCTTGAGGATCAGAGCCTCAGGGTTGAATTAATTCAGCTAGTGAACTTTAAAATGAGTATTAAATTTCTCAGGAGCATGCTAAGACTTAATTAAAACTCCTGTCATTGTGTGAAATGGCAATATAGGAATGTAGGAATGCAGGGGTTTGTTCCTGCTTTGGGAAGTGTTTCATGTTGGCTTGGCAAGCTGTGCCTCAGCAATGCTGAGAAATTCCCTCATCTCCCTCCTCGAGGAGGAGCGAAATTAGAATAATTAGCTGGTTTATAATTAATTGTGCTCTGGGGACACATTCTCACGATGTCTGGTGCTTCTGGTGGGAATTTTCTACAGGGAACATCCCAGTATACAGTAGACTTCAGGTATCAGGTGTGCTCCCGCCTGCATTCCTGGACCAAGTTATCACGTTGCTCAAAGGGAGGGGAGGGGGAGTCACATTTTTTTCTGGCATTTGGGGTATTTTTTAGCTGTCTTACACATGTAGGTTAAATATTTGCTCAGGGCAGAACAAATGTCCAATGCAAAGGGCCCCACTCAGTGATGTGTTTCGATCGCTGGAGCTTCCCCTCACCCAAGTAAAAGGCAAATTAACCTGCCTGACTTCACAGCACCACAGCAGCAATGCTTTTCAGATACAGCACAGGCTGGGCTAAAAGCAGAGCCAAACCCACACCAGGGTCACTGTCCCCTTGCAGCATGCCCCGTGGCAGGCTGGCACCGCTGGTGCCATGCATGGAGGGCAGCTGTTTCAGCACTGATGGTCATTGATATATCGAGCCTTTCCACTACCTGCTGGGTGCTGCCAGGAGGGTGCTGCTGGCAGTGAGTCCTGCTGCTCGCTGCCTTTTCTCTGCCTGCCTGCAAAGCAGCATTTCTAAAAATACCTCCAGCGATGTCGTCAGCCGGTGCTCGCTCAGGTCACGGAGACATGACAGCCAAGAAAAGGAGGACGGGAGCATCGCTGGGGGACCAGGCTGAGACTATTCCAGCCAGCGTAGGTGAATCCCTGCAGAGAAGGGGGTGTGAGCAGGCTACCTGCTGCCTCCACAGGCTCCCATGCATCCTCACTGCCTGCAGGCCCCCCGCACATCCAGCAGCAAGTGGGCGTCCCCTGGGATCCTGGAGCTAAATAGCATTACTGCACAGGGAAAGGGAGCTGGTACCTGGCCACCAGCGTGCATCCAGAGTAACCCCACTTCTGGATCCCTGGAGATCCTGTTCCTGTTGTGCTGGGGCTGTCACAGAGCCACGCTGTCCTTGCCAAAAAACAGCCCTGCAGCTGGGAGGAGTGGGTTTTGTAATGCTCACAGGTGACTGTTTGAATAGGGCTGTTGGCACAGAACCCTTTCTTGCATCTCGGATTTTGCTCCATGCTTATTCATTAAGTTATTCTTCTAAACTGGGGAATTCACGCATGTGCCTGCCTAATGTAGACTTACTTGATGTAATTGATACAACTTACGTGCTTTGCATAATTGCAATAGCATTAAAAACCTGAAGCATTCAAAAGCCAGGAAATTACTTACCAGTTAAAGTCATTTACATAGGCATTTATTTCACCCTTACAGCTTGTAAGTGAAGTCAGTGGTGATATGGCTTTACAGTCGCTATCAGAAAGGGGAAAGTAACTTTACGTGTGTCAATATTACCCCCAAACCAGCTGAAGGAGCTGCACAAATAATGGGGTACTTATGCAAATCAGCAACTGCTTAGGGCCTCAAGGGGTACCTGCATGTACATATGGATGTGTGTCTATAGGCACACACGCCTATATCCATCCCTGCCAAGGGCTCCATGCTGGGAATGCCAATAAACCTTCGATGAGGGGAGGGGGAGGAGGAGGATGGGAGGGTTTCACTGGCTGTGAGGGGATGGCAGCTGCAGTGCAGAGCTGGAGGCAGATGCCAGGCCAGGATGGCATTGGCTTCTCAGGGACGAGGCGCTGTGCCAGGGGCATGGGGACATGGAGGTGACCCTTCGCAGCCCCCTTTCCGTGTGGTGAGTGGCTCGAGCAGCCTGTCACCTCCACTGAACCCCTGTCACACCCTTCCATGTAGCTGGCTCGTAACAGGGGATAGGGCAGCATCTCCTGGGAGGTCTCTGAGTACGTCCAAGAGGTTAACGCCAGGATGAAAGGACAAGGCTGAATCCTGCTCCAAACCCAGGCAGAAGTGAGTGAAAGGCTGTGATTGAGTGTGGCGAGGCAGGAGATGGAGGACACCTGGTCTGAGGGGAGCACACCCTCCTGGTGGGCAGAGCCGTCTCCTTCCCAGCTCCACAGAGTTGGCACCCCTGCATCCCCAAACCCACGTGGGACATGTGCCCCACAGGTCAGCCTGCCATCAGGCGGATGTGAGCCATTGCTCTGGGCACCCGCCACCATCACTGTGGATGCCAAGTTCAGCTTTGTTGTGGGAAGTATCCTGTACTGCCAGTTCATTACCATGAACAAGTTATGAGTGACTTGTGTCACCCAAACCAGCCATTATCATGAGGGCTGTGTGTGCAATACAGGCACGTAGATACAACTCACACCCTAAAAATGCTTAAAGCAGGATTTTCTGTTGCCTTTCTTGACACCAGGGCCTGCCTTTGGAGAGGTCTTGGCATGTCAGGCTGTTTTCTCCACGCCTCTGGGTTAGAAACAGGTTTTTTTTCATTTGAAATCTGTGTCCCCAGGCCCAGTGAGCCTGGGGTGCTGGTTGGCATCGTTGCCAGCGAATACACTGGCGTTTGGGAGAGCGGGGACATGACAGATGAGGGCATGTTTTGTCACCTCTGGTCCTCGCTGTGTGGGTCACCAGCACCATAGTCCCCACGGTCCCCCAGGGTCACCCTGATGAGCCATGCTGGGGGGGTGCACAGGTGGGACGTGGTTACACTGAGACTCCCCAAAGAGCACCGGGATTTGGGGCGGGAAGGGCAGGGACATACCGCGAGTACCCGGGACACACCGAGAGCCCCTCCAGGGCTCTGACAAGGGAGAGTCGGGGAATCACGAGGGCGTGGGGCTCCCCCGGGAAGGGCACGGGGGGACACCGGGGCTGCGCTGAGCTCTCCGGGCTCTGGCGAGAGGGATCGGCGGTGTCCCGCGGACGCCCCGGGAGCTCCCGCAGCCGGGGCGGGGCCGCCCCTCCGGAGCCCCGAGTGCGGGGTGGGGCAGCCCCCGCACCACCGCCCGCCGGGGGGATTCGCGGGTTTCCACGGCAACGAGCGCGGGGCGGAGCTCGGCTCCTCCGTTACCGAAGTGCCCGGGAGGGCGGGCACGGGGCTGGGACCGGGGCTGGCACCGTCCATCGCCCCGCCACAGCCCCGCACCCGGTGAGTGCCCCGCGGGGGCGGCACCGGCACCGGTGGCGGCGGGGGGGGCCGGGCTGGGCAGAGGCTCCCTTTGTCTGAGGAGCTGGGTGTGCCGGCACGGAGCACCCGGGGCGCGGCGAGAGCACGGCTCCCCGTTAGCCTGCGGCGGGCAGCGCCACCGGGACCAGCACCGGCACCGGGACCAGCGCCGGGGGGGCGCGGGGCGGGGCTGCGCCTCCTGCTCCCTGGGACCGAGACCGCGACCGGGACCGGGACCGCCCCGCTGCGGCTCCCGCCTTCCCGGAGCCGCCGGTCGGGAGAACGAGGGACCCCGCGGAGGGCGGGCGGGCGGTCCCGGGGCTCCGCGCCCCCTTCCCCGCCGAGCTGGCCCCCGGTGCGGTGTGTGCGGGGCGGGCGGTGCCGTGCCGGGCGGTGTGTGCGGGGCGGAGCGGGTGGTGCGGTGTGTGCGGTGCCTCCCGGGTGCGGGGCTGCCCGTAGTCCCGGAGTTCCGAACTCCCTAAGTTAGCCCCAGCCCGAGGTTAGGAGGGGCCTGGAGAGGCTTCGGGAATGAGTAAATTAATTACAGACACTGTTTATGTCACATCCGCCGGGAGCACGGAGGGAGCCCGGGGCTGTCGCCTTTTCGGGAGCGAAATCGGGATTGGTGCAACTTCCTGCGGGTTTCGGGAGTCGCGACCGGTGTTACTGTCGTGGTTTGCCCTGGCACGGTCCGCTGGGATTCACGGCTGGACACAGAGCACTGCTGAGATGTCCGTCCTTGCGCTTCTCTGCAGAGGTGCTGCTGTACTCGGGACCCCCGTGCCATGATTACATCCCGCACAGCCTGGGATCTGGGATCCGGGCCCTCCTCCGGAGCCGTCTGGAACACGAAGGACCTTGTCCCGGACGGTGAGTACGGCGCGGTGGCTTGTCCTTGCCCCTTGGGGCTCAGCCTGCCGTGCTCACGCCCTGATCACTGGGGAAGGAGAGGCTGGGAACAGGCCAGCCTGCATTTTTCACATTTCTTTCCGGATGAAACTCAAGATTTGAGAAACGGGGACTCGGAAGCAGGCACAAAGCAGCGGACAGCCAGGGGGAGAGCAGATGAGCAGAGAGGGCTGCCTCCATCTCCCTCTTGGCCCTTCCGAGCGACAAACTTAGGGAGAAAGGTTAAAATTTAACATGTAAGAAAGAGAACGGGGCGATCTGCATGGCAGGGCAGACATAGGGCCCTTGCCTCACCCGGCTTCGTCTCCTTGGAAGGTCTTATCCCTCCCCAGTGCATGGACCCCGTGGGTGAGTTGAGTCGGGGTTTTCCTCCGCGTCGGCTGAGCTGCTCTGCAGGCGGGCGGGAGGCTGCTTGCCCCAGCCTGCAGCCGCTTGTTGGAAAAGAGCCCTTCCCACCTCCCTTCCAGCGGTGCCAAATGGATTTTGGCAAAGCAGGGCGATGAACCCCCTCTATTTGAGCTTTTTTTGCTGTTGGCTTCAGCATTCTCCATCCCGATGTACTGGCAGCCGCTTCTCCGGACACTGCTGCTTCCCTGGCACTCAGGCCATTCCAGCCAAGTGCTGATTGGCATCAAAGCCTCCAAAAACGGGGTTTTCTGGTGCTTCCTCTGCCCAATGGCTGCCGCTGCCCATGCCGGGGATGGGGAACTCATCACCTTTTATCGGGGCATTCGCCAACGCTTTGGAAACACACGATTTTCCCGGCGCGTGCGAAATGTTATGGATAATTAGAGGCTGGGAAGAAGTCCAGAGTGATAGACTAACTTCATCAGGGCATGTCTCCCTCCAGACACTGCATCCACCACAGGCCAAACTGCCTCTGGATGATTTTAGAGAAAAAACTGCATTACTGAGGTTTGATTTGTGGGTTGCTGATTTTTTTCCTGCCTGCTGGAGAAGAGATTTGGCTGCCTGTGATGGTGGCAGCGCTTGTGGCAGGCAGGTGTGGGGGGGAGGGCACAGGGTCCCCAAGCAGTGGGACATAGCCCTTGCCAGCTGCTTTTCCTGTAGCAGAGGAGGACACAGCCGTAGGAGAAGGCTCTTCGAGTTGCTGTTTTTCTTCTGTGTGGCTCAGCAGGGCAGGAACTGCTGCCCTGGCTGCTTTCGGGTTTGGCTGCCTGACAAATAAAGGAAATATTTGGGGGCAGTGGAGGGAGGTGACGCTGTCAGGGTCCGTCCGTCTGGTTTCGGTGATGCAAGCTGGCTTTGGCAGCTTTTCCAAGATAGGATCTCAGGAAGCGGAGCAGCTTGGCAAGGGGCAGAGCTGGGGTGTCCCTGGTGGGGGGACAGATCTGGTCCTGCAGAGGCCAGACGGATGCTACACCCTGAATTCTCGTTACTAGTCATTGGCAACCAGTCTCCGCCCCCCGAAGGGATAATTTTTCTAATTAACATAATTAACATTTTTAATAAAAGTCAGGCACCATCTCTGCCACACCGGTGCGGTGGCGGCGGCAGGGAGGAGGAGGCGGCTTTGCTGAGCTAGGCCAAAAGCTGTGTCCATCCTGGGCTCTCAGGTTGATCCAGTGATGCTCTTTGCTCCATCTCAGGCTGCGGGCAGGACAGGCTCAGTACTGGGAGCGGAGCAGGCACCTCTCCCCGGGTTCCTCTGCTGCCTACTCTGCTTCACCATAAAATCCTCAGTGTGAGCTGGCCAGACGCTGCAAACCCCCGTGGGCTCTGCCGGGCTCTCCAGGTGAGGAGCGTTGAGCCAGCTGTGGCTTGGGTGGGGAAGGCAGTTTTGGGATGGGGGGGAGGATGCCCCGCACCCAGCTGGGCCATCCCTCAGTGGGAGCTGTCTGGTTCCCCTGCTCACTGCAGCCAGTTTCTGTCTGGACCCCAGCACCACGTGCCTCAAGCGGAGCTGCTGCCCTGAGTAGGGAGGGAAGAGCATCTCCTGGGAGTCACAAGGCATCAAAATTGCTGGGGAACAGCCTGGAATAACATTTTCTGGGTCACTTATGGGTCATGATAACAGGAGAGCTGAAGGCAGAAGTGTGATAAGGAAATGCAGTGCCGTAAGGTGGTGTTTGCCAGTGGGATGGAGGAGGAGGAGGTGGAAGGGTGCCACAGCCAGGGACAGTGTCGGGACACCGTGTACTGGTGTTGCTGCCACTAGTTCATTCTGGGCTTCGGGTAAATCAATTCAAATTCCCCTTCTTTGAAAAGAAGAAAAACACCTTCTTATCTCACACCAGCCTCAATGAATTCCCTTCGGCAAAACCCTCCTGGAGTCTCAGATGCAGAGGCACCGCAGACACGCGGCTTTTCCAGGAGAATGCTGCCACCACCTCCTTCCAAATTATTCTCAAATTACTGGCATATTTGCCCTTCTGCTGGGGTGAGACAGGTTTCCCTGGTCTGCGGGGCGATGCCACAGGCTCTGAGATAAGATATAAGTAAGAAAAGGCATTTTTGACCAGGGCAAACTCAGCTGATCGTCACCTTTTATCTCAGCTTTTCGAAAGCTCCTTCCAGATTTCTTCTGATTTTTTTGGAGCTGGACTCCATCCCACTGGGCATGGCATTACCTGAGCCACAGCTCACAGCAAGCAGCTTCACATTCAACCCTGCCTGCAAGTCAGGGTCATTTTTTAAGGCCATAGAAAGAAAAATAATTAATATTCAGTATAACTGCATGGCCAGTGCGAGAGAAGGAGTTGTTTATGGGGAGAACTAAAAGCAACATGATAAGTTCATTGTGTCAGCTTCCCAACACCCAACTCCCTCAGAGGGAGGGTTTTCCCTGAGCCCCACTGTCCCATCCTCTGCTCTGCCCTCCTTGCTCATTCCTGACCAGCCCAGTGGTGTGCTGGCTGCTGGCACCATGTCCAGCACAGTGTGCCCAGTCGCTGCGTGTCACCTCTCCTCTTTGACGTGTCACCTCTCCTCTCTGACATGTCACCTCTCCTCTCTGACCTGTTTCTTCTCCTGGACACAGGCCCTGCGGGATACGGCGTGCAAGCGGCGGGAGGAGACCCAGCACCGGGACCTGACACCAGCCACGGAGGAGCCGCTGGCATCCCCCTGTGAGCCAGCAGCTGCCACAGCGGTGCAGGCAGCCTCCACCATGAACCTGGAGAAAGCAGGTAAGGGGACAGCCAGGATGCAGCGGTGGGCACTCGGGAGGAGGGATGGGACAGGATGGGATGGGATGGGCACTTGGTACCTGCCGGTGGGTATCGGGCAAACCTCTCCTCTTTGGGGGTGCACACAGACATGCAGCTGCCTCGCGGGGGGGACAGGTCACAGTAGAAATCCAACACCAGCCAGCTGATGGCTGGTGACAGGGACCAATGAATTATTGAACTGGATGAACAGAGCAGATGAGCTCCACTGTGAGCTCCACGGTGAATCCACTGCTGTTTCCTCCTGCTTAAGGAAAATGTAACGTGTGTGGAAATCCTTGCAGTGTGCGCGGCTGCACCGGGGTGGGGAAATCCTGTGGTTTCCTGTCTTTCTCTGTCAGGACTGGATTGTGCAGGCTTGTCAGGGTGCATCTCAGGAGCTGCTCCTGACATGATCCCAGGCTGCATCCCAAAGCAGCTTCTTGGGGGGGGGGCTGCTGGGAAGGGGCAGGGAAGCAGGAGAAAGGGGGTCTGTGTGGCAATGATAACAGGGCAGAGCCAAGGAAACAGGCATCTTTCCTAACAGGTTTCAGAGCATTTGGGAAAGCAGGAGGGTTAGTGTGCCATGCCTGCTGCACTCAGACCCCTCATCACCACCAGTGTGTCTGTCCAGTGGGAGATGTAACAACACAGGATGACATCTCGTCTCCCATGGATGCTGTCACAGGAAGAAGGTGCTGGAGTGTGGGGGAAGGCATTATCTGTGTGGGATTTCCCTGCCTGGCAGTTTGACTTGCAGCTGAGTGTTGCAGCTCTGAGCCTGGCTCTGCCTTGGGTCCCAGCCCAGGATTAGCATGGATGATGTGTGCAGACATGCCGTGTGTCCACAGGAGCCTCCTGCCTCCTGTAATTTTTTCTTATCCCTTCACACTCCCCAAAGGGTGAGAGCTGGAATTCCTGTCAGCTTTGGAAGTTTTGGGGTGGGTTTTTTGTGTTTTGGTTTTAAAGAGAAGACCACAGTCCCCTGCCTGAGCTGGGCTGAGCTTTCAGCACAGAAAGAAAATAAAACTGGTTCCTAGCAGTGCTTTTTTGGGGTATCCAGCCAATGGCAGGAGGACAGAACCCAGTGATGTCTTCTGCAGCCACTGCTGGATAAGTTCCATGGCGTGCTGTCAGCAGCAAAGCTGTGGTTTGGTCCAGCATTTCATTTTTTTTGCCTGTTCTGCTGCCTCCTTAACTCCATTTAAAGGTAGAAAGTCTGATTCACGGACAAAAAACTCTTTCTTCTTGTATTCAGGACATTTCCCATGAAGCAGGCAGCACCCTCCCGCGGGCAGCACAGTGATTCCCAGCATCAGCTCCTGCCTTTTGAAACCTCAGGTTTCTGGTGGCAGCGGATGAAATGCATGGCAGGCAGGGAAGGGCGCCGGGCAGCCGGGATCCTGGCCACCAGTTCCCTCACCACAGTGCTTCATCCCCACGTTGGGAATGAGTCAGGCCAGCTCATTGCTTCTTGGGAACTACCAGGTCATTTGGTAGGCTCTGATGTACGGCCAGGTTGGCTTCTGTCAGCACTGGTGGCTCTATTAACATGCAGAAAACGATGTTTAAAATAATACCAGGAAGGTTAGAAAGCCAAACACGGGAGGATTGGGCAATACGGCCATTCAGAGTACCCGTGTAATTTTCCTTCAGCTTCCATTATGTTTGTGTGTAGTGACGCAGCTTTAATGACATGATCACACGGGTTTTCCACCAGCACCTGCTCATTCAGAAGAAAGGATGCCGGGGTGAATCAGCGCCGTGGTGAGGGCGGTTGTTATCAGAGCGAGGCGGCAGCATCTCAGCATGTGATAGGGCTGGGTCACCACGCAGTGGTGTGGGCAGGTGCTCTGTGCTGCAGCCTGGGATGCTCTGCTGGCATTGGCACATCCCTTTGGCTCCTACCCTGCCCTGGGGCTCAGCTGGCCGGACCCCACCGTTAGCCCAGCCTGCTGTGGGTCAGCACCGTGGCACTCGGGATGTGCCTCCAAATATGTCACTGTTCTCTGTGGGACTTGTGCAAGTGCCACTTCCTGTGTTCTCATCTCCACCTCAGCCCCTGGGGACTCTCCCCAGGGCTGGCATTTTGCTCCCCAGTGAGGTGGCCAGATCCTGACCGGCTCCGTCTTTGATCACCCTGCAGGAGGGAGGCTCTGCAGTGGGAAACGTGCCAGCCTGCCGGCAGCCCGACCCTTCCCAGTGATCCAGAAGGTGATGGCCTCCATGGCACACCTGCAGAAGGAGAAGCTGCAGCTGCAGGAGGAGCTGCTGGGGCTGCAGGAGAAGCTCGCTGCCCAGGAGAACGACGAGCTCTCCCTCTCTCTGCAGCTGCAAGGCCAGGTACGGTGGGGACAGAGCGACACAAGGGGGTCTGTCAGGGCCTCCAGCCTCAGGCTGTGGCTTGGCTGCAGTGCTGTTGTGTGCAGTTAGTGAGGGTTGCACTTGGAAAGAGTGTAGGACCTCCATCATAGAGCATCTCCTTTGCTGCGGCACGTAGGGATGATGTGGGAGCCGGGTGTTCCTGAGCACTGGTTTTGGCTGTGCCTCCCTTGGGATGCTTGCAGTCCCCTGAGTGACACCACAGTAGTGCTGGCAAAGGTGTGTGGCTCCGTGACGTGGCTGAGAGGGCTTTGGGCGTCAGGATGCAGCCCTGCAGCAGTCATCCCTCTGCCCAGCACAGGACGGCTGCCACAGGATCAGCTTGTTAGACCAACCCAGCAGTTTAATTTTAGTGACTCTCAAGAGACAGGAGGTGGAAAGTGAATGTGAAGGCACGGAGTTGTTTGAAGAAGGGATGGGTTTTGGCCGCCACGACCAGACCTCCTCCAAAAACCATCTCCTGCGCTGATGCAGGCGCATTCCCAGCACAAGGACCTGGCTCGTCCCAGGGAGATGGAAATTCTGGCTGCTCGTAAAGGGATTTGCATGTGGCTGTTGTGGAAGCTGTTGCAGTCAGGTTCTGCTTGTTCCACGGGTGTCAAAAAGGCGGAGGTAATTGTCCTGCATTTGGTTGGCATGCTCTGCATGACACAGGCGTGAGCGCGGCAGGAGCCGGCCCCGCGCCGGCCAGTTCGGCAGCAAGCGCAGCCGACACCGGCCGGAGTGAAGAGCTGGCCCAAACCTCCAAAGCTTGGGGATGGCCGGGCCACGGCTTGAGCCAGATCCGGCTGCCAAGGAGTCCCTGTCACCTCCAGAGAGCAGGATGCAGCCAGAGATGCCCGAGCAGGTAGGGGGTGGAGGTGCATCGGCATTTTTGGGCACCGCTGGCACAGGGAATGGTGGGCAGGCTCCGGCGTGTGTGCCGACTGGCTGGGCTGGCGGATTCCCCGGAACAAGTCGTGACTCTGTCTTCTCAGTACCTCCCCTCTCTTAAAAATACTTACAAAAATACCTTAATAGTCTCCCTTGGTGAATATGGAAATAGGGTTTTCCCACTAAAGCGCTCAGCCCCCCTGTGGAGGGAGGGGGATCCCGATGCCATCAGGGAGCAGCCGCATTCCCCCACCCGTGGCTGTGGAACCCTGGGCCGTGCCCCACCGAGCGCGGGGCACACGGAGCTGCTGCCCGTTGTGCTGCCATCTGTGCAAGGGCGCGGCTTAATAACTTACCAGATTAATTATAGCCCCGTGTCAGCACATCTGCATTGGTTATTAATCAGCAGTTCGTAAATTATGGTCCACAGAGGGCCGGTTGCTTAGAGAAAAAGCTGGTTATTGGAATGGGGCAATACCCAGGCACGTCCCAGTGAGGAGTTTGGCAGCTTCCAGGAGTAGGGAAATGGGGAGCTGGGCTGGGATCTGGGAGATGGTGGTGAAGCATGCAGCCAGGTCCAGTTCCCTCTGGGGTAAGCTCCGGGGCAGTAGTGATGCTCACCCAGCAGGTTTATGGCACAGGGACACGGGACAGAGCAGGTGAGCAAACCCCATTAAAACACAGTCCATGAGACTGCTGGCTTCACCAAACACTCTTTGCTGCTGTTTGTTCAAATAACTGCAGATTTTGGGAGAGCCTGACTGGTCCCTGCACAAAAAAAAGTTGAGGATTTCTGAAATCCACCTGGTTTTGCTGGGAGGGCAGCCTGGTCCCATAAGATGGGCAGATGCCCAGATGGGGGTGGCTGGGGAGCATCCTCCTGTCAGACTCAGACACATGGCCTTCTTGAAGAGCTCCTGCTCCCTCTTTGTCCCAAGATAACTTTCCTAGAAGGAAAAACAGAGAAGGCAAAACGAAGCTATGTTGTGAGGGCAGGACAAGGCACTTCTAGCTCTTCAAACACTGATTGGTTTGTTTTCTCCCTTCTCCAAAGATGATGCCTTTTTTTTTAATGATGGTTTCTGCTAATGCTCAACATGGACAAATTATACCCATGGTTGAACAAGGTCAAAGCAAGGCTTTCATTAACGCTTGTTTAAATCAGGTCGTGTGAATCAGGCGCTCAGAGCCAGGTGGAAAATTAAGGCATAACAAAAATGTGAGACAGACTGGATGTTGGTGGCTGGGGTGGCACCACAGGGTCTCCTCCAAAAGCTGCTGAGGTGCTTCCTGGTTAACCTGGTCTGTGTTGACAGGTTGAAACTCTGAAGGCGAAGGTCCTGGAGCAGGCGCAGGAGATCGGCCGGCTGCGCTCGGAGCTGGTGAGCTGCCACTGGGATCAGGCTGAGCCACCTTTGCCTGCAGGGACACTGGAGCTCTGGTTCCTGAGGAGGAAGAGGGCACGTGGGGTCACCAAAGGTGGACTAAACCTCCCCAGGGTCACGGTTTGGACCCTCTGGGCCTTGAGATACTGAAGGACAAAAGTTTGTGGGATTTTCTGTCCAACGCAATGTTGTGCCAGTGTCCCTGGGATGCAACAGGTAAAGCTCCCTCGGCACTGTCGCTCTGCAGTGGGACGTGAAAGTCCCTCTGGGGCTTGGGGCTGCCTGGGCTCAGTGGGGGGCTCTCTAACATGGCAGGCTGGGTCTCTCATGATGGAGCAGGCTGAGGCCTCCCTGTTGCTGCAGACTGGGGGCTCCCTGGGGTACAGCAGAGTCAGGGCTCCGAAGTGGCAGGAGACTGTGGCTCCCTGAGCATGGCAGGTTAGGGGTTCCCTGAGGCTGCAGGCTGGCGACTGGCTGGTACAGCAGGCAGAGGCTCCCCAGGGCAGCAGCAGGCTGGGCTCAAGGGGTGCATCAAAGTTTCATCTGCTCTTCCATCCTGGCAGGGCGGCACAGATGCAGAGAAGCACCGGGACCTGCTGGCGGCCGAGAACGAGCGCCTGCGGCAGGAGATGAAGGCGTGTGAGGGGGAGCTGCGGGAGCTGCGGCGGCAGCAGCAGCAGCAGGCACCGTGCCGGGACTGCCACCACCGCCAGGTGAGTTACTGGTGGCGGTGGCGGTGGTGGCAGAGTGACAGACACCTGTGGGTGACACAGCCTTGTCTGCCATGTTCTGGGGCCAGGAGAACGCTGAGCTGCAGGAGCAACTGTCCCAGCTGCAGCGAGAGGCAGAGGAGACGCGGGCCAAGCTGGTGGAGCTGGACCTGGAGGTGCAGCAGAAGACGAACCGCTTGGCCGAGGTGGAGCTGCGGCTCAAGGACTCCCTGGCCGAGAGAGCCGAGGAGGAGGAGCGGCTCAGCCGGCGGCTGCGGGACAGCCAGGAGACCATCGCCAGCCTCAAATCCCAGCCCCAGCAGATAAAGGTGAGCACCATGGAGCTCTCCATCAGTCCTGGCTGGGCTGGGTGCCTCGCAGTGCCCAGTGGCTGCCCTGCAAGTGCCACCTATCTCTCTGCCCTGAGTGCATAAGCACAGCACCATGATTTCCTAAATTATCTCCCCCTGGGCAAACAACAGCTCCATTCCAGGCCCCTCGAGTGCTGTTTCCCCAGTACATCCCATCTCTGGGTGCTTTTTTCCCCAGTATATCATCAAGACGGTGGAGGTGGAGTCAGCCAAGGCAAAACAAGCCCTGTGCGAGACCCAGTCCCGAAACCAGTACCTGCAGGAGCAGGTGGGGATGCAGAGGCAGGTGCTGAAGGAGATGGAACAGCAGCTGCAAAACTCCCAAAAGACAGAGGCTCAGCTCCGAGCTCAGGTCTGGGTGTGACAGGTGTAAATCAGAACTCACCTCGTGTTCCCTGCCTGCCTGGTGCTCGCCAGGTGATATGGTTTGGCAGAGGGTGGGCACCAGATCAGTGTCACCCTCCTTTGCTCTTCTCCCAGATTGTGATGTACGAGGCTGAGCTGGAGCGGGCCCATGGGCAGATGCTGGAGGAGATGCAGGCGATGGAGGAGGAGAAGAACCGTGCCATCGAAGAGGCATTTTCCCGTGCCCAGGTGGAGATGAAGGCGGTGCACGAGAACCTGGCAGGTGAGGAGGGTGCAGGGGGGCTTGTGGGGTTGCCTGATCAGTGCTGGGGGGTCATCACCTGCCCCTCACCCTGCCTTGTGCCTGCAGGTGTCCGGACCAACCTGCTGACGCTGCAGCCGGCTCTGCGCACCCTCACCCACGACTACAACAGCCTGAAGCGTCAGGTCCGCGACTTCCCCCTGCTCCTCCAGGAGACCCTGCGCAGCGCCAGGGCCGAGGTGAGTCCCCCTGGAACCACCACCCCGTCTCCCCTCTACGCTGAGTGGAGATGCTGGGGGCTTGCTGAGCCGCTGGTCTCCACCCCTGCAGATCAGCCAGGCCATCGAGGAGGTGCACAGCACCAACCGGGAACTGCTGCGCAAGTACCGGCGGGAGCTGCAGCTCCGCAAGAAGTGTCACAACGAGCTGGTGCGGCTGAAAGGTGTGCGGGGAGTGTGGCAGGTCCCATGTGGGAGAGCCTGTCCCTGAGGGGGGGCAGGATGGACAGGGGAGCATTCCCATGAGGTGCTCGGGTTGACAGCGGGATGCTTCAGTCTGCAGCGTGCTGCAGCGTTCAGCCTGCCCAGTGTTTGATGGTTACTGGGGGTGGCAGCAGGATGTGCTGGGCCTGACACCATCCCTGCATCTCTCATCCCAGGAAACATCCGCGTTTTCGGGAGAGTCCGCCCCATCACAAAGGAGGATGGTGAGGGCCCGGAGGCAGCCAATGCAGTGACTTTTGACACCGATGATGACGCTGTCCTGCACCTCCTGCACAAGGGGAAGCAGGTGTCCTTCGAGCTGGATAAAGTCTTCCCCCCACAAGCATCCCAGGAGGAGGTGGGTGCTGCTGTCCACACTGCTGGTGTGAGGGGAGGACACAGCCACCTTCCCCTGACCCTCCCCTGTCTCCCCCAGGTGTTTCAGGAGGTTCAAGCCCTGGTCACCTCCTGCATTGATGGCTACAACGTTTGCATCTTCGCCTATGGGCAGACAGGGGCAGGAAAAACCTACACGATGGAGGTGAGTTTGCCTGGCTTTTCTTCCATCTTCTTCCTCAGCTTCCCACCCCATGGTGCCAAGTCTCAGCACCCTCCACTAAGCATGCTGGTGGCCAGCTCAGACCCGGTGTGCACCAGTGATGGTGACTGCTGCTCCACAACAACCCCCTGGGCTTTGTTTCTGCTCAGAAAAAAATACAGAGTAAAACACAAGAGGGTGTTTTTCCCCCCATTTCTCACTCCAATCCATCAGGGAACGGCAGCAAATCCAGGGATCAACCAGCGGGCCCTGCAGCTCCTCTTCTCCGAGGTGCGGGGCAAAGCAGCCGACTGGGATTACACCATCACCGTCAGCGCCGCCGAGATCTACAACGAGTCACTCAGGTACGGGGAGGGCGGAGAAGCTTTTTGGGTGTCACCCCATGCTGCTCTCCCCTCCCCATCCCACCAGCCCTGCCTTGGCCTCACAGCTTGTGCCAGGGCCTTAGGTGATGTGTTTGGCCATGCAAGGATTTATTTTTAATTTATTTTGGTGCACACCGCCCTTCCCACGAGCTCCAAGACTTACACAGGCTCCCAGCCCTGCCATCACTCCCACTCCCTGGCCCTGATGCAGCGGCTGGGGCATCCCCCTCTCCACCCTTGCCCACAGATGCTATATTTAGGACTTTGTAACTGGGAGCTGGAAACGTGAGAAATATTTTCCTCCCTTGTCCAGCCTCAGGCAGGAGGGGCTAGGAGGATCCTAGGAGCACATCCATTAGAATAATGGGGAACAGAGTTGGGTGAGAGCAGGCACATGAGAGCCAAGAGAGCTGAGGTCTATAAATAGGTTGTGCAGCTTTCCCAGGAGGAGACGGCTGCTCTGGCAGTGTTGGCACACAGCCCTGAGCCACGGAACGGATACCAGCACTCCCCTGGGATAGGGATGGTAACGGGTGCCCCTTTGCCCAGGGACTTGCTGGGGAAGGAGCCGCAGGAGAAGCTGGAGATCAAGCTGTGCCCCGATGGCAGCGGGCAGCTCTATGTGCCCGGGCTCACCGAGTTCAGGGTGCAGAGCGTGGAGGACATCAACAAGGTGCGGGGAGATGGGGGGTGGTGGGTACAGGAGGGTGGAACTAGGGGTGCAGCGAACCCGGGGAGGGGTTTTTGGTCTGTGACCCCTGGATCTAGGAGCATTTCTGAAGCCCTGGGGAGCAACAGAGACCAAAATAGGTCTCTGGATGTGATGAGAAGGTCACTGTCCCATGGGGTGAGCCACAGGGGGTTAAAAATAAAAGCATGGGGCCCAGAGTTCCTGAGGGATTAGTGGGATGCGGCTGTCACCACAGTGCCCTGCCTGTCACCCCCTGCCTTTGGTGCATCACCCAGGCTGAGATCTGACAGTGGTCATCACAATGATGGACCAGGCACCCCCTTGGGGGTGCTATTGCTCAGGTTACATCTCCAGGTGCCCCTGGATGAGAGGGTTTGTCGTGGGATTGGGCCAAACTGGCCTCACCCCCCAACTCCCTGGACTCCCCCAGGTCTTTGATTTTGGCCACGTCAAACGGGTGACAGAGTGCACCAACCTGAACGAGCACAGCTCTCGCTCCCACGCCCTCCTCATCATCACCGTCCGTGGCCTCGACCGCAGCACGGGGCTCCGCACCACAGGTGGGTGCCACGGGGCAAACCCCTCCCCAGAGCACCTGGGCCGCAGCATCCCAGGGGTGTGTGGGGCCGGGCACTGATGCCAGCCTGGGGGGTTTGGCTGTGTGTCCTCAGGGAAGCTGAACCTGGTGGACCTGGCAGGCTCGGAGCGGGTCGGGCGGTCGGGCGCGGAGGGCAGCCGGCTCCGCGAGGCGCAGCACATCAATAAGTCCCTCTCCGCACTGGGTGATGTGATTTACGCCCTGCGCTCCCGGCAGGGCCACGTGCCCTTCCGCAACTCCAAGCTGACCTACCTGCTGCAGGACTCGCTCAGCGGCGACAGCAAGACCCTCATGATGGTGCAGGTAGGGGCTGGGCACCCAGTGCCTGTCAGCATTCCCACGGCCAGTCAGTGTGGGTTTTGGGATGAGTTTGGTCCCTTCTTGCTCCAGTGCTGGGGCAGGTGGGAGGGTTGCTGGAGGCAGGAGCTGGGCTGGAACCAGGGGCCAGGGCTTGCCCATGGGGACATCTGGTCTGCAGCTGCAGTGCCAGAGGCAGCTCTGTCCCCATCTCTGCACCCCAGAGGCCGAGGGATGGGAATGAACTTGAGAGATCCATGATCCTGCCCTCCCCGCCTGCACATGGAGGCCATCCCTGTGGGCACGATCTCCTTGCATATTGTCATCTCCACATCCCCTTTTGCTGGGAGGATTTTGAGTTCTGGCAGCTCCTCCACCCCTGTCCTGTGGCCTCCCAACCCCGGCTGCCTGTGCCCACAGCGAGCCCCCACAGGGGCTGCCCAAGCCCCTGCCACCTGCCACAGCTATTCCCGGCTGTCCCTCCCGCTGTGGCGGTTGGTGACAGGGGATCCAGCTGGCCCAGGCACGGATGGACAGAGCCATCCCGGGAGGGGCAGGTTAATAATAGCATCTCACCGGCCACCATCAGCAGGTTTGCCGGGGGAGGGCCCCGGGATGCACAGGCAGCTGCCAGGGTGACTTTTCTGCCTGCTCCTCCCTGCCTGCAGGTCTCCCCCGCCGAGAAAAACACCAGCGAGACGCTGTGCTCCCTGAAGTTTGCCGAGAGAGTTCGCTCCGTGGAGCTGGGTCCTGTCTCCCGCAAGGCTGAGCTGGCCTCCTGGCCCAGCCAGGAGCAGCTGGAGGTAACCAAGGAGCTGCTGGTGCCTTTCCTCTTCCCCCTCACTCCAGGGGTCCCCCTGTTTTGCCCCCACACGTTCCCCAGGGCTTTTGGATGTTCCCCTGGAGCCACCTTTGCTGGGGACCATCACCTGGTGGGATGTGGGTTGTCCCCAAGCAGAGGTGTCCAGCAGATGCTGCTACTTTGGCTGTTCCAAGCCATGTTTTGCAGTAGCCCGTAGCACCCCCAGAGCATATTTGGATACCACTACCCAGGTGGGCACAATCTGCCCATGAGCCCATCCCCATTCCTTCCCTTTGAGGACTGGCATGGACTGACCCTGGGTCTGTGTCCCATCTCCTTCCAGGGTGACTCACCGGGTTCTGCAGCAACACCTGGCCGGGGCCACACATCCCACAGCCCAGGGCAGCTCTCCAGTCGCTCCGCCTCCATCCGCAGGAAGCTCCACACTTCAGGTGGGTGGTGGGGCACCTTGGGAGCCCATATGGGGTCCCTCCATCCAAGGAGGCTCCCACCACAAGCCCGTGGCAAAGCCTGCATGAGGGAGTGAGCAGATTCGTAATCAGCTCATTAACTAATTGCTAATTAGCCATGGTCAGCACTTCCCCAAGAGCACCCTGGTACAAAGCTGCTGCTGGCGGCTCAGGGGGTGTGGGGAGGACAACGCCACCAGGCTGAACTTCTCTCCCCTTTGATTTCAGCCTGACTTAGGGGCAGCCGTGGCTGCCAGGTGAGTGCCTGCGGCGGGTGCTGGTGGAGGGCTCTGTTTCACCCGCTTCCCAGGCAGGGCAGGGCTGCTGGGCTGTGCAGGGATGCTCCTGGGGATGCTTGTGGTACCAGCTCCTTGCTACAATGCTGCCAGACGGGGCTGGGGCACTGGTGGCTGTGTCCCTGCCTACTGTGACCCACGTGTCTCTTCCCAGGGAAGCTGAGGTCAGTCCCACTGTGATAAGTGCCAGCTCCCAGCTCGGGCACCAAACCCACTCCAGGACCCAGCCCCTCACAGTGACACGGAGGTGGCTGCTGGAAGAAATGAAGGCTTCAGTGCTGTTCCCTTGGTCACCAGGACCTGTGACCTGAGGGTGATGGCACCTCTCACAATGAGCAATACAGGACCAGGGTCTCCCAGCAGCCAGACCCCCCTCTCAGGGTGGGGGACAGTGGTGCTGGGCAGGAATCTGCCCCCTCAGATGCTCAGCTATGTGACAGTTGTTTTTAGCCAGAGCGGGGAGCTGCTGGGTGCTCCCTCCATCTCTCCAGCTTTGTTTTTACAATGAAACTGGGTTGGAGGGGGTTCTTGGAGCTGGAGGGCGTGCTTGGAGCCAGGCTAGCCCCTGGCCATGCCTCTGCTACCCCCACAGGGCCAGCCTGGCTATGGCTCCCCCACGACTGCACCTGGGCAACTGCCCGTTGTCTTTCAGAGCAGCATTTCCTCCGTGGTAAGTCAGAAAAAAATTCCAGCAGCTCCTTCCCCCGTCGGTTTCTCAAGCCCTGTTGTTGCATGAAGGCCCCTGGTGCCGTGCATGAGCCGAGCTGCCGTTCCTCGTGGTGCCAGTGCTGCCAGGCCCCGGCACAGACCCGGAGCGGTCGCGGGCCACCTGTGTTACACGGCACCAGGGGGGATTTCGCAGTCTCGAATGAAGCTATTGTAAAGTTATTTACCAGTTGTCTTGTCAAGAGAGATCACAGTGTGGTCGAGATGAAAGTGTTTGAAATATTTATGCCTGTTTACATGGAATGGAAAACTAATGGAAAACAAACAGAAGTACCCCAAACCTCCAGCACAAAAGCCTGTTGGCTTATGTATGGGGATGGCAGCTGGCAGGGGCATGGGAAGGGGATGGCAATGCCCGTGGTCCTGAGCACCCACCTGTGGGTACGTTTTCTCCTGCTGCAAATACCTGCTGGATGCACTGATGGCTCCTTCCACCACGGCCCTCTCCTCTCACGCTTCCACAGCATATTCTATTTAAAAACAAAAAAAGGGAAAAATAAATTTAGCCTTTTGTATGATTAGATGTTTCTATGTATTTTAATAATTAAAAATTATCCTGTTTTGTAACAAAACTTATTTTAAATAAACTGTTAAAGCCAGTCGTCCTCTGCTGCTGTTCTTGAACCCTGCTTGGCATGGGGTGGGTGCTCCTTCCCTTGCTCCCAGCATCTCCCCTAGGGCTGGAAAAGCCCATCCCATTCCTTCCCTTGCCCCCGGGCCAGCCTGGCTGTGCAGACCCCCCCTGATTGCAGCCATTGGGCTCCCATGATTAGCAGGAGAGTGAGTGGTTAAACCCTAAGTCAGCCCCAATGCTGCCACGTCCTGGTCCTGCTCCACCTCCTGGTCCTGCTCCACCTCGTGCTTCTCCCAGCTGAGATCTGCTGGAAGCTCAGCAGGGAGGGAGATCTGCTTGGGGCCAGGGAGAAGGACAAGCCCCAAATGATGACACTGCTCCTTGGGCTGGGAACAACCCAGCAGAGTGAAACCACCCCCAGGATTTCTGCAAGCCACCCGGCAAGTGCTGGCTCTCCCGTTGCTCACCGCAGCCTCCCAGCAGGAAGGGCAAGAATGGTCAGCTTTCCCCTGGGACATGCAGGGAACAGAGCCCTGCTTTTCCTGGGTGCTCTCAGGCAGGAGCTGTGCCAAGGTAAACAAGACTTCAAGAGATTCAGGCATTTAACACGACTTAAAAAAAAAAAATTACAAATATTTTAATAAAATTCATTTAAGTTACAGATTCCTGGAGAACAGGCTCCAGTGTATAAAATGGGAGACAGGCTGGGAAGAGCAGGGAAGCACCAACAGGAACCTCTTTCCCCAGAGGAAAGAAGAAAGAGGGACAGAAAGGTTCTGACAGACATTTATTGGGGGAAAAAAACCAAAAAACAAACCTCTAAGAGTGGTCCAGTGGATGTAGAAAGACATTAATCAGTCCATGTCCCTCTGTTTCTCCACCCTCCCAAATCCTCACCCCCAAAGGCAAACACATAGGACAAGTCCTGCTTAAGTCACATATTCTCACAGGTCCAGGAAGACCTCAGATTGCAGCACAGTCTGAAGATATTAATCTCCTGCATCCCTGGGTGCCAGCAGGGATGTTTGAGAAGCCAAGAGACAGCTTCCTCTTGGTTCAGGTCCTTGAGACTGCACCAGCACGGTGGCACGGTGTCCTTGCCCATGTTGGATGAAGCCAAAGGAGCCGATGCCTCACGGCAGCTGATGTTCCTTCTGTATGGAAAGGGCACTCCACCCCACAGCAGGCGTTTGTGGGGCGGTCTCTGCAGTCCTCAGCACGCTGCACAGCAACAGTGGGGCCAGCCAGCCCCGACCCACAGGGCCAAGCGACAAGAACGGACAGCACAGGCGGGAAGGAGGGGCGACAGCAGGCTCGGAGCCGTCCTGCCATGGAAAGGCCAGCACACAGAGCAGCCCAGAGCTTGATGCTGAGATGAAGAGCTGAAATGAAGCAGCTTCCCTACAGGTCTTTGTGGGGCCCTCAACCCGCCAGGGCCCCTCACACAGCACACGGCTCTCCACTCAGGTCCTCCATCCAGCCCGTAAGGCACCGGGGCTGGGTGGGCGACCAGCCAGCCAGATTCCACTTCCCTACCATTCTGGAGGGGGGGCAGGGGGAAAAGATGGACACATGGAGAGACCTGAAATCCAGCCAGACCACGAGCAGAGGGAAGCTTGGCCACCTGTATTTGCACGTGAGGAAGTGGTGGCTGTTACTCCAGGACAGCCATGAGGAGAAGCAGTTCCCGAAAGGCACTTCCATGGCGGCCACTGAGCCCAGACTTGTTCTTGACGACATTGCTGATGTTTTTCAGCTGCTTGTAGCACAGCTTGCATTTGTGGAGCCTGCAAAAAAACAACAGCAGACACAGCATAAAACCTCAGCTGCCTAAGAGAAGTGCCTGTTCCTGCAGTGCCAGAAAGGCAATTCAAGCAGGAGAGGAAAGCCCCACAAATGGCCTGGAAAAAGCTGAAATCTGAGCAGAGCTCTGCAGACAAACACCAGGCATTCAGCCCATGTCCTGATGAGACAGGGGAATGGCATTCACATAAGGGCTCTTTCACTCCCCTTTCCCCTTTGGCAGTACAGACCAGGGAGGAAGGAGGTGCTGCTTTCTGAAGGCCAATTCTCAAAGCAGAGCTATCCCGTGAATGAACTGGAAACCCAGGGCCTGGCTGCCAACTCATGTGAAGCAGAGGGTGAAGCCAGAGGGTGGTTTTACTCCCAACACTTTGTTTAGGTGTGACTCAATGCACAGTGACAGAGGGAAAAACAGTCTCTTGGCCTTTTTCTCAGAGCAGGAGGGTTTGGTGTTTGCAGACAAAGGGAGGGCAAGCCCAGTCTAGTACCAGAGCCTCCACGGTGAGGACAAAGCTCACCCCAGAGAAAGGCTGGTTCCAACACGGAGCAAGAGGAAGCATGTGCCTCACCTTTCCTCTCTGCTGATGTCCACTCCAACAGAAGGTGGTGCAGCAAGGATGTCTGTGATGAGTGGCAGGAATCTCTGGAGAATGAGTTTCAGGGATGTGCAGCCAGTCTGCACATAACTGAAAAACAGAGCATTGGGTTCCCTTTGAATTTCTTCCTGTCCTCCCCACACATAGCCCTCAAACAACTCCCCCTCCACCACCTGTAACCAGGGAAGAAGAGCAACAGCCAATACATCTTGGTTCCAAGGCTTTGACAAAGCAAGCCTGTTCCAAAGGTCCTGCCACATACCCTGCCAAGTGGAACCTCTTTGCTGAAGGGCAAAGATGTCCTGCCAAGGGACTCTGGCAGGAGCCTCTCTCCCAGAAGAAGGAAGAGCAGAAACTTCATCTTAAGAAAAAGGCTGAATTTTTTTGCCCCCTAACAACGAGTCTCTGGGACTGTTGCAGGACTTCATTACCCCTGTCCCAAGCTGACAGCTTCACTCCCATCAGTGAGCAAAGCCCATTTGTTTTACATTGATGTGATCCCTCCTGGCTGCCAGAGCTGTCTTCAATCCAACACACCTACACCAAATCCCACTATCCTGCTCTTCCTGCCCATGCATACTTTCCATATCTTTTCCCACACACACCTGGCAACTCCATGGCTATTTTCCAGGCATCGTATCAGCATTATACTGTATCTGTTGTGATTTCAAAGGATTTTCTTTCAGGTACAAAATTCCCAGTGGAGCTCCCTTATCACTATCTACACCCTGTCCCCCAGTCACACCATGTTCTTGGGGCCTCACCTTTCATATTTACTTTGGAGTAGTTTTTCTATCTGCGGCAGGACTATAGTACACAAATCCAGCTTCCAGAGAGACCTGAAAAGAAAAGGACACATCCTGAGACTGAAGACTGAAGCTTTATAAATCTGAGTCAACACAAATAACACTTTATAGCAAAATGCCCAGGCAGCAACACTCAAGTTCACTGAGCAAGTTCACTGACTCCCCCTCGTGAGAGAAAGTGGCAGGTTCTTACAAATTTCATTGACTCTCAGCACAACCACTTTATGAAGCCCCAAGACTTTGATTTTCCTTGGCCCCAAACAACTCCAGCAGGTCCTGGCACTGCAGGCTTGAAAATGTGACTACTGCCACATGCATTTCATGCTGCCACAGCCCACTGGACACAAGGCAGGTCCAAGGCAGCGCTCCCAACTCCCAGCCAGATGGCTCTTGGCTATCCCAGGGGCTGCCCTCACCCAGGACTCACGCTTTTTGGTTGACAATATTCAAGAGGTCCACAACAACAGACAGATCGTTGATTGCCACTGCAGAGTCCAGAGAGTTCTGAGAGAGAAGGAGAAGAAAAAGTCTTCTATTGCAAAGCTCAAACTGGTTGGGCTAAAGCAAATTAGTATCAAGTGCTCCATTTCCAAAACAAGGTAGAGGAAATGTGAAGCTGGCTTGGGAAGAGAACTCTCTCAGTGGCAAAGTTTTCTCCACCTTTCTTTGTGACTGTTCAGCCTCAGGTGGGACGCAGAGGCACTCTGTGGTGCACCCCTGGGGACAAGACCTGTGAGACCCCACGTTCTTTGTGAGGCAGAATCAGCCCCAGACAAGCAAACAGAGATGCTCAGCTGCTCCCCTCAGGAGCCTCAGGTATCTCCACATCCTTGCCTTGATGTCGCTGGTGCTCCATACAGCCCGCACGGTGTCCAGATTCTTGTGGCGGCTGGTGAGCACCACACACATGGTCTCGTGGCCCTTCCTGATCTGGGACATGGCTTCCTCATCCACAAGCTCGGTCTGGCTTTGGTTTTTCACAGCCTGGAAGTACAGACACCAATTACAGAGCAGTATGGCACAGAAGGGTGAGAGCTTTCTCTGGCCTTTGAATGGAAATGACCATTCCATTCCATTTGTTCTGACCTCAGTTACTTCTTTTCTGCTTTTTCTACTATGTCAATCACAAACACATTTGAAGCTTTGGAAAAACTCTCAAAAAAAGGTGAATTTAAAGTAAGTTTCCAAACCCAGTATGTTTTGATGAAGAACTTCGTTCACATAAACCCTATTTTTTATGTGGAACATTAATCTGGAATCAGTAGATTTTATCACAAAGTATAAATCTTACACAATTTATTAGACTCTCAATTTGATTCCTGCCCATCCCATGCTGGAACCACATTTAGAGTTTGGGATCTCTAAATCAGGATGCTCTGGTCTTTCTCCTTTTCTAGGACAAGGGAATACCCTTCCCAAGAGAGACCAAGAGGCCTCCAAGATGCAAGAGGCAGAGATTCCTGTAAAATTATTATGTCCATGTAATGGCAGACACCAGTTTTCTAAACGAATCACTGCCTAGTATGTGGAGTTGTTCAGTGACTGTCTCACCCTTTGCTTTCTGCTTTGGTAACATGCTGTTTGTGAGCAGGGCTCAACGCTGCTGTGTTCACACCTCCCTGCTGCCAGTCACAATGGGGGCACCTCAGAGAACCCCCCTTCTGATGCCACCCAACACAGACATCAGTTGGAAACCATCGTCCAGAGACACTTACTGGTAGAAAGTCAGAGGCCTTCAGGCCAATGGGCTCATTCCTGGCTGCAGGAATCACCGATGGCTCTGTTCTGGTCGAAGAAGTTGAGGAGGCTATCAGTGGCCTCTGGACTGGATCAGGCTGAAGGAGAAATTGGGATGAAAGCTCTAGCAGCAACAGTCTGGCCCTACTCTGATGACCTTTATTTCTAACCTGCTTTCCTCT